GTTAGAAAAAAAGTCATTATTTTGTGACAAAAAAAAAAACTCAACGTTAAGGTGGCCCTAATACTCTGTCTTAATACACTATCATTTAATAAACACACAACTCTGGTTTCCTCCCTCAGTTCAAAGGCAGATTGGAGATGATCTTATCATCACACACTAGAATGACCATAGTTATGAATGTGAGTGTGAATGGTCGTTTGTTTGTGACCCTGTGAAAGACAGGTGAACCGATCAGTTTGTACCCTGCCCTCGCCATGACAACCCTGAGGAAAAAACAGTGGATAAATATAGGGGTGTCAACTTCAAATGACCCTAGGGTCACTGCTGCAATTGTCATTTCAATGAAGGGCCACATCTCTGTTTGATGATATATAAAATATATAATATATATAATATATTTATATGTATAATATAATTATTTTGTATAATACTGCTCATCTAGTTTTCCTGTTAAAGTAATTTTTTATCCTTTTGCTTTTGCCCCACAGTACTGTGAAGGTAGATTTTTTCAGCCTAATATACAGGCAGCTGGAGAAGCAGGTATGTATTTGAACACGTTGAAGGGTGGAATCCTCTTTAGCTCTGAAACAGTGCTACTACTGCAGTGAGTTTGACTGCTCGCACTCAAACACTGAACTGTTGAATTTTTCAGGTAGCAGACGACGTGAATGTTGCAATGGAGCGCGTGTGTGGGACACTGGAACAGGAGAGCTCCAGACTGACACAAACAATGGGCGAGACCATCTACGAGCTGTTCATGTCTTTGAAAATCCTCAAAGGCTTTCGAGAGTTCCTTCCTCTCAAGTTGGTTAAACAGGCTTATGAAAGAGTAAAAACCCAAAAGTATTTGTTCTTCGTCAGTCCGCACCCACACTAATGGCACTCTCCGCTGTTCTCCCGCAGGGACGCCAAAATGCTGGCTTTGACGGGTTTTCATAACTGGTTCAAATCCTCCATTCACAAGTGGCTGCAGATTGTTCACGAAAGATCGTGTGACAGGATTCGGAAGGCCGTGGACACAGACAAGGTGAGAGGCGCCTGAGCCTGGAGCTAGACAAATGTTCACTTTAATAAAAAAAAAGACGTGAAGTCAAAAAGCACGAAAAGTCTGAAAGTAAATTCACTGCAGGCAGATACTGTAATAGGTTTTTTTTTTTTAATCAGTGAGGAACAGTTACAAGTCAGGTGCAGAGAGAGGATAAAAGAAAAGAACAGAGGCTGAAGAACATGATGAAAAGTTTAATATAATCAGAGCATGTAAAGGTAGAGTGGGGGGAAAGATTATCAAAGAACAAAAATATAATGAATACAATTTTTTTATATAAAGCTGATAGTTCAAGATGTAATAACTGCAATGTCTGAAAAGAAAAGCACTGGTAAAGTGAGAGGATGGATGGATGGATGCTCCGCAACAAGGGGTCACTGGCGTAACAATCAATAACCTTGTTGGTAAAAATGTGTATGTATATGATGAAGTCATTTGTTTTCTGGGACAGTTTCAAATATTAAACTCCTGTTTATGTTTTTGTATAAGAATGCCTAAACTTTTTAATACTGGCAGTTTCCACAGCCACTAGAGGGCACTCTAGCTGGCTAGTGCGACTCCGGAGCAACTCATATATGTTTTTTTCTTCTTCGTTATGTATTTTTTCGAGTGCTGCGACTTATAGACTTATAGAAAATACAACTGCTATCTCACAGCCCACAGGTATGCACACTTAGAAAATGTATCACCAGCCTCCACTGGATGGCAGATCTATAGATGGAATGATGGATGATGGATGGAGTCGGTGGATGGAATAGAGGGATGTGGATGATGGAAGGGAGGAAGGATCTAAAGAAAGGAATGAAGGAAGAAAGGAGTGTCTTTTAGATGTTTCTCCAAATGTTATTTTTAGGTGGAGATTTTAATTTAGGTTTCAATCGTTTTGTTCTCTAAACATTCCACTTTGCTCTGTTCCGCTCGTAAATCCACGTGTCTCTTGCCTCTTTTGTGTTGCTGGGAGAAGTTGGAGTTGTTGCAGCAGGCCAAACAGAGCTCCTCAGCCATGGAGGTGACAGCGTGCTTCAGCCAGGTACGTCAGATCTGGCTGCAGATGGCATGGCCAGACTCTGCGGGGGCCTTCATCTTTGTCACTCGCTTGACAGACGTGAGTATCACCGTTTTACAGTAGACGGGAACCCACACACGTTGGAATCGAATTAGAAAAGCTGGTGCCTTTATGTAAAAAAAAAAAACAAAAAAAAAAAACCCAAGAAAAACACCAAAACACTTTTTTTATATATAAAAAAAGTTTTTTGGTGTTTTTTTTTTTTTTATAAAAAAAAAAAAAACACAAGAAAAACACCAAAAAACTTTTTTTATATATAAAAAACACGACAGCACACTGTTACAAAAGTCAGTGGTGAGTCCAAGTTCTTAGTTCAAGGAAATGGGCCTAGATCAAAGTATTAAGCATAGCAGATCCCAAGTAAAATACAGGAAGGATCCGACCTAGAA